GTTGCTCCTGCTCAGCCCACCTTAACTTGACACAACGGGCATTTGTCCCTTCCACATAATTCTCCTCACTCTGCACCCAGATATTGACCTACTAACTCGCCCTTTGGGAACTGAAGACCTCCAGAGAAGAGGAACTGAACAGTCTCACCCCAGAACAGGAAGGCCTGCATCCTTCTCCTAGGAGTGAGTCATTTCACTCAGCTCCTTCTGCAGCTAGAACTGCAGGGGCTGGTTGTCCAACACTATCTTCTCCCCCCACTCCTAGCACTGCAAGAGGAAGAGTAGCCCGCTGGGAGACTTTAGGGCACTATTTTGTTTGTTTGTGAAAACAAAGCTAGTCAAAATTCTGTCCAAACAGCGTTTGCCTTTTGAATGAAGGAGAAGGAGAGGCTCCTGCAGGTACCTGCAGCACTCCTCCACCTGGCCAATTGGTGCTTTTCCTCTAGAGCAGAAAGCACCAGACTGGTGCCCCAGGGGGCAGAGACCTACCTCTATGGTATCCTGAGAGCAGAGCAGGGCAAACTGACCCATAAACTCTGTAAATACCAGCTCTGGGTTCTGTTCAGGATCCTTTGATCATTTTTCAAATCCATTATTTTAAGCCTGTAAAAGAAAACCGCCCCAAAGCCAAAGCAAAGAAGCTGGGCTCTGGCCTCTGCTCTTGTCCCTTTCAGCCATCCATATCTTCCACTCTTAGTGCTAGCAAGAGATGTAGCCTTGGATTTCAGCTCGATTTCTTCACTCAGTCCCATTAAACCTTGTCCAGCATTCCATGACACTGCCTGGCTAGGCCATGCTTTTCTAGGACTTCTAGGAGAAAGCATGCAGGCTGTTCAGCTGTACCCACCACAGCTCCCTAGGGACATACTGTGCTGATTTGCAGTGCAGAGACCTCAGGCAGCTGCAGTGACCTAGTGTCCCTTCACATACCCTTTGCCCCCTCCACAGTCTCCCTCCTCTCTGTCAGGTTCCATTTTATGACCTATTTATTCTGGGTGTAAACACGTGTGTTGTGTAACTGCTATTCTGCTGCGCTGCAGTGGCCTGTAAAAATGTGGTGTTCAAGTGAATATTGATTTCTGAGTGCAGGTTAATAGTCCACAATCAATTGTATGAAAGAGCTGCCTTATCAGAGAAGCTTATGTTTTCAGGAGAGCTGGCAGACCAACTCGGAGCAGCTCCTCTGCACACAGGTGGTGTGTGGCTTTGGAAGAAACAATGAAGCTGGGCAAATGTTATGCTCCTGGAATGGATGTGCAGCTGTCAGACCTCTCTACTGATCCCTGTGTTCCATTCCTTCCTCTCCCTCAGGAAGGGAATCTTGTGTTGTGTCACTTGCCAGATGCCTGAGTACCATAGCATCCCTCATCTCTGGATGCAGGGCCGCCCAGAGGATTCAGGGGGCCTGAGGCAAAACAATTTTGGGAGCCCCTTCCATAAAAAAAAGTTGCAACACTATAGAATACTATATTCTCATGGGGGCCCCTGCGGGGCCAGGGGCAAACTGCCCCACTTGCCCCCCCCTCTGGGCGGCCCTGTCTGGATGCACAAATTATGTCTCTCCACTGCACCTCTGAACTGTCCTTCAGTAGTGGTAATATTTCCACTTTGAATCCCAGTCTTCTCTGTGCCCACTCACTGAGGCATTACTTTCTTCCTGCTGCTGCAAGAAGCAGGGACACCACACTGCCCAGCAGAGGGGCTGCACCTAATTTCCATACATTGGAGAAGGTCACAGCCACTGCCATCATTAACAGAGAGGGCTGATCTACAGATGACAAGATGTCCCACTATGCACTGGCACCTGGCTGCTTGGATCAAGAGGGAGCATGGACCCCCATGTGCTTCCTACACCTCCATTATCAAGCTGAGGAAGGCCATGTTATAGGATTCCCTGGGCTCCAATTGGCCATGCACTGGTCAGACACTGACATGCAGGGGCTGGCAGTTCCCTGGAAACTTCCTTATTACAGTATAGCAGGAGTTGCCATCTCCAAAGATTGGTGGTGGGAGGAGAAGAGGTTGCTGTCCCAGTGCCCCACAGCATGCATAAAACAGATGCCAGGAGTTCAGAGGAATGTGGGGCTAGCAAGCCCCTATGCAATGTTCCCTGAGTACTCTGTATCCTCTTTTCCAGCCCCTACATGATGTGCTCCCCATAGTAGCCATCCCCCTCTCTCCTCACCATTATGGACTGGACCCTCAAAGATATTTAGGTACCTAAATCCCTTTTTGGATCTAGACCTATATGCTTTCCCAATTCCACTTCCCTGCTATCTCCGATGCACAGTGCTCTCACAAAGGCAGGTGTTTTGTTTGATCTGGGCAGCTTAGAGCCAACACTATAAACAGAGTTGTCATTTTGTTTGTTATATCCAGTGTGCCACTGGGACTCTAGCCTTCCATTTCCAATGGCTGGCTCACTGATTGAGACTGCAAACTCATGTTCTGAACATCCAGGGCCAATGCTTGGCTCATACTGGGGCAGGTGCTTCAAAGTTAAATAAATCCTGCTTTAATCGAAAACTTAGAGAAATCCCACTGGCGTTTTTTGCTTCAATCTTCTCTCTCCTTGTATTTACCTTCATACACACCCTTGCCTCTCACATCTATTCACCTGCATGTGTGCACACAACCCTAGTTCTCTACACACCTGTACATTCACATCCACATGTACACAGAGCTATTTGCATAAGAGGAAATCAGATTTATTTTCAAAGTTGTAGAGTAAATGTTTCTTACTTAACCCAATTTTCAGCGACTAACCCTGATTCAGCTACTGTTTAACCATTTAAGATAGATAAGAATGTCCCATAAGCTTTTCAAGTGTCTTATTTTAGTAGAAGTTGCAGTGACACAGTCATGAGGTTGACTCCTGATTAGTTCTCTGATGTCACTGGCATAATTCCAGATTTACTCAGATGTAACTGATCAGAATCTGGCGCCATCTCTTGACTACATATGGAGTTATCACAACTCTGACTCCTGCTTAAATGAAAAGGGCAGTGCAACAGAGATCATTAAAGATACCATAATGTGTCTTAAATATAAGTGCAAGAATAACAATTTAATAGAAACTCTCCATTCTGCCAGTCCTAGCACAGGATTTACATCAAATGCAGAGAAAGGAGGAAGCTTTCTAAGATGTTATAATGTAAATTCTATTAATTTTTTAAAATGTAAGATAAACCCAAAATATCTATAGTAAAGAAAATTTTACCTTCCAACTCTGAAAGGCTGTTGCTTTCCTTTGCATTCATTCCCTATGTCCTGCTCCACTCAAGTACCATGGGGATGATCGAGGTAAAGGAACCTAAAGAACAGAACAGCATCAGACAGGAGCTCCTGCCAGGAAGTCTCAGGGCAATGGCAGCTGTCACCGATAGCCACCCCAGCATCAGTCATGGAGATGAAGCAGTGCCGGAGATTTCTAAAAGCTTTTTAAAAATTCCCTTAATGTGGTTTAATTTAATATTTACTTATAAATACTGTTTATCTCTCTCTTCACATACGGTACGCCTCACAATCACTCTGTGAGTTAGGTAAGTTGTTATTCCAATTTTAAAGGTGAGGAAACAGACAGAGACATAAGCCATACAGTGAGTTGGTGCCAGAGATGGGCCTGCTATTTGGAAGCCCTAGATTATTAAACCTGTGCTCAATCCATTTGATCACACAGGAGTATCAGCGCAAGCTATACGTGACTGCAATTTCTCTTTAAACAGTAGCCAGGATCAGCATCATATGGATATCAAAAAGCAACTGAAGCTAAACTTCAGTTCAGACAATAAATCCCGATTTTTATGTTCTCTCCCCACACTTGAAACATGCTGACAGTGTCAGAG